AATCGGCTTAAGGCACTGACCTCTTGGCCCTGGAAGCCCTGTCCACTGGTCTCAGAATCTCCACCCCCTATTCCGGAAAAGCCCCGCCCAGTGCTCTGAAATCCCGCCCACCACTCCAAATTCACAAAGAAGCCGCCTTGGGCTGTCCAGGGACTGGACGCTCTGCCAGAAGCGAGGGCTCACCTGAGGGACAAGGAGCAGTCCTGGGGGCTGGTCTCGCTCAGACGCACGAGGTAGCTGCCTTCCCTACAGAGAGACAGCAGGTTCTCCGCATCCGCCCGGCTCAGCGGGCCGTGGAACCACCTGGGAAGGGGCGAGGAGATGGCTCCTGAAAGATGTCACCCACCTTCAAAGGGCCTCAAACCCACGGGCACCGCCACCGGGGCGGGAGCGCGACACCTGCGCACACCGGTGAGGAAAGGTCCCCCGAAGTTCTGGGAGGAGTGGGCTTCCCGGGAGATGGAATTCCCTCCAGTTCCTGCGTCCACCTGACCTTCACCTTCACAACTGCCCCCAGAGCCCCCGCCTCCTTTCCTCCCCACTCCCCCATCTATCATTTGCATATTACTTTTTTTCCCTTGTAAACCTTTTACTTCTTTTTTTTTTTAATCGCATATTACTTTCATGGGCTGCATTCACACCTTTCTACCCCATCCGGAGGGTTTCCATGAGTTGTAATCAACAGGGTGGTAGTGAATTTGGTGGGTTTATTTATTTATTTATGCTGTTTGTTTGGGGGTTGGTTATGGCGGTGTAGTGGTTATGGGCCAGGGCTGCTAACCGCAAGGTCAGCAGTTTGAAACCACCAGTCTCCACGAGGGGCAAAGACAAGACTTTCTACTCCCTTAAAGAGTTCCAGTCTCAGAACGTCCCAGGGGCAGTCAGTCCTACCCTGTCCTGCAGGGTCAGGGAGTTTGGTTTTGCTGTGCACCCGGTGACAAGGCACTCGGTCCTATGTTTCAGACAAAGGAGCAGCAGACAGACACATAGCGAGACCATTCTAGTCCTGCTGACAGTGACCCCACAGGAAGGAGTGGAACTGGCCCCCGCCGTTTGCAAGCCTGTAAGTCATTCCAGGAGCAGACAGACTCCTCTTTCTCCCCAAGAACCCCTGAGAAACACACCCTGGTGTGTTCACAAGCAAGGCTGGCGCTGGAGACCTACAGAACCCTCCAAGAAGTTCGCAGGGTAACACTGACAGTCTGCTCTGTAAACCTCCACCCAATTCACAGGAAAAAAGCTTTACAAATTATTATTATTTTAAAAGAAGATCCCAGGATTCAGGGACACAGAGGACCCATCCCGTCAGCCTGTGCCCCCCATTTAAACCCAAAGTTGGGACCACTTGCTCACATCCTAAGGAGCCCTGGTGGTGTATTGGTTACATGTTGGGCTGCTAACTGCAAGGTCATCAGTTCTAAACCACCAGCAGCCCCTCGGGAGAAAGGCGGAGCTTTCTACTCTTGGAGCGAGTTACCTTTCTACTCTTGGAGCGAGTTACGGTCTCAGAAAGGGTCGTTATGAGTCAGCATGGACTGGATGGCCGTGAGTTTCGTTTTTATGTGCCCATCTCAAGATTCCCAAGGAGCCAACAAGCCCCACCGGGTATGGACTGAAATCACGTGCCCCTACAAATATGCTGGGATCTTAGAGGCCCTGGTGTCAAAACAGTTAAGCGCTGGGCTGCTGACTGACAGGTGGGCAATTTGAGCCCACCAACAGCTCCTAGGGATAAAGACCTGGCAAACTGCTCCTGCAAAGATGAGCCCAGAAAGTGCTCTGCCCCGTGAGGTCGCTGTGCGGTGAAATCCATTGGCTGGCTTCTCAAACAGGCCTGGGGCTGTCCCTCAGCTTGGACAAAGGGCTTTTGTTGCGTTAATGAGGACAGGCCAG